GATGGGGTGTGGGTGGGTGTGAGGTGTTGGGGTTTGAGGAAGTGGGGTTGGGCATGAGGGTTTGGGGCTAGGCACGAGGAGTGGGGTTGTTGGAGTGGGCCTGGGCATGAGGGGTTGGGGTGTGAAGAAGTTGGGCTGGGTGTCAGGGTGTGAGGGGCTGGGGTTGTTGGGGTGGGGCTGGGCGTGATGGAGTGAGTGTGGATGTGAGGGGGTGGGGTTGTGTGTGGAGTCAATGTGTGGAGTATGGAGTTGTCAGGCTCGTGTGTGTATAGGAGGTTAGGATTGTGGGAGCAGTCGGCATGTTGGGCTGGGGTTGCATAGAGTGGTGCAGGACAGTCATTGCGTGGCAGTGAATGGAGGGCAGGGGGGTGCGCAGAGTGGAGACCACTTACAGCTGACAGTACGAGTGCATCATTTGGGAAGGTTTTCCAGAGGAGAGGAATATCATGTTTTATTTTCATTAAAGATTTTTTTTTCTCCTCTTATTCTGAATCTTCCCCTGGTTACAGACTGATGCTTCATTCAGCGATAATGGCTTTGATTCCGGTGAGTGCAGAGTCTGAAAGCCCACAACAGATTACAGAGTGGGTCAAACTCCTGTGTCTCAGGGTTGGGCCTGTTTGATGACCTCCTACAGTTTTCAGTAAATATCACCTCAGTCCAATTTGCTCCTCCTGTCACCTTGAGGTGATTTCCAATGACACCTTTTTTTCGATTGTTCAGAGGAGGTGGGAATTGTTGGCTAGGCCAGCATTTACACAGAGGGATATTGAAGATTAAGTGAGTGGACAGAAACTTGGCAGATAGAATATAATATGGGAAAATGTGAGGTTATGCACTTGCAAGAAGAAAAGAGGAACTGAGCATTATTTAAACGGAGAAAGACTGCAGAAGACAATGGAACAGAGGGTTTTGGGAGTCCTCATCCATGAATCACAAAAAGCTAGCATCCAAGTTCAGCAAGTAACAGGGAAAGCAAACAGAATGTTGGCCTTTATTTCAAAAAGGGAATGGAGTATAAAAGTAGGGAGATTTTGCTAAATCTATCATGGTCAGCAATCAGTCACTAAAACGTATGATTGTCTTCTGAGGAAATTCCATGTCACTGATCATGGGTTGTGTGGTTCATTGCATGGCTGCTGATCCTGATCCGAGAACCACCTCTCTTTCTGGGAGGTGTAATTGGTCTTCGGATTTGAGATCACTGGCGTTCCTTTCTTTGGTTCCTTTTGCATACTTCCTTTTGCTGACGAGTGCTCTCAAAATTTATACCGAACTTTCCTCCAAGTCTTCTAAACAAAGGTCTCCCGTGTGTTGAGATCGATGTTGCATTTCTTGAGGGGGGGATGCCTTCAGGGAATTTTTGAAATGCTTCTTTTGTCCCTATCTCCTTGAGCTAGACTGAGAAGATTTGCTTTGGCACTCAAAACTCAGCTTTCCTAAGCATGTGGCTGGCCTAGCGGTGTTTGTTTTGGATGATCATGACCTTGATGCTGCTGTTGCTGTTGGCTGCTTCTATTACACTTGTTAGTGTAGCTGTCCCCCAAGCTGATGAGGAGAATTCTTGTGATACAGCGCAGTTGGTGTTTCTCAAGGGCCTTGAGCTGGTGTTTACATCTAGTCCAAGTTTTGGAGTCAGAAGGATGACTGACTTATACACAAGGATCTTGGCATCAGCATGTCATCGAGCACTCTCATACTTAGATGTCCAAAGGCAGCGCTTACAGAGTGGATGTGATATTGAATCTCAGCATCACTGTCAGCTTTAGATGAGAGGTAGGTTGGCAGGTAGAGGAAACTTTAAACATTTGGGAGGATTCCTCCATTGATCTTAATAGAGGGACAGACCAGAACTTGCCTTGGGGAAGGTTGGTAAAGATTGTACAGGTCTAGAGTGTGGAAATAGAGGTTTTGGTCCAATTCATCCACGCCAACCAGACATCCCAATCTGACCTACTGCCATTTGCCAGCATTTGGCCAATATCCCTCTAAACTTTTCCTGTTCATGTACCCAATCACTTGCCTTTTAAATGGTGTAATTATATCCACCTCCATCACTTCCTCTGGCAGCTCGTTCCATGCAGGCACTGCCCTCTGTGTGAAAAAGTTGCCCCTTAGGTCTTTTTAAATCTTTCCCCTCTCACCTTAAGCCTATGACCTATAGATTTGGACTTTCCCACCCTAGGAAAAAGACCCTAGGCCATTCACCCTATCCATGCCCCTCATGATTTTATAAACTTCTGTAAGGTCACGCGTCTGCTGCTCAAGGGAAAAAAGTCTCAGCCTATTCAGCCTTTCCCTATAACTCAAACCCTCCAGTCCCAGCAATATCCTTGTAAATCTTTTCTGCAGCCTCTCAAGTTTAACAACATCCTTCCTACAGAAGAGCGGCCAAAATTGTACACAATACTCTAAAAGTGGCCTCACCACTGTCGTATACAGACTCAACATGAGTCTGAAGTCCTATACTCAATGTTCTGACCAATGAAGGTGAACGTGCCAAACACCACCTTCACCATAGATAACAAGGTGTAGAGCTGGATGAACGCAGCAGGCCGAGCAGGAAAGCTGACATTTCGGGCCTAGACCCTTCTTCAGAAAATCACCATCCTGCCGAACCGTGACTCCATTTCCAAGGAACAGTGGACCTGCACCCCGAGGTCTCTCTGTTCGGCAGCACTTCCCAGGGCCCTACCGTTAACTGTAAAAGTCCTGCCCTGGCTTGCCTTACCATCACATTTATCTAAATTAAATTTCATCTGCCACTCTTGAATCTTTTTGATGTTGAGACTGAGACCAGTTCTTTGGTATGTTCCTGTGAAGGTGTTAAACAAAATTTGAAGATTCTCTTCTGAGAGAACAGGGGTAACTTTGTCATCTGCATACTGAAGTTCGACAGATGAGGTCAGTGTTGCTTTCTTCTTGGATTTCAATCGGTTGAGGTTGTAAAGTTTTCCATAATGACCACATCACTGGGAAGCTTGTTTTTGAGAAGATGGGAAACAGTGACATTGAAGATGGAGAAGATAGGGACAATAACGCATCCCTGCTTGACTTCTGTCTTGACCCGAAGAAATCTATCACGTTACCGGCTGTGAGGACTAGAACATAGAACATTACAGCGCAGTACAGGCCCGTTGGCCCTTGATGTTGCGCCGACCTGTGAAACCAATCTGAAGCCCATCTAACCTAAACTATTCCATTATCATCCATATGTTTATCCAATGACCATTTAAATGCCCTTAAAGTGGGCGAGTCTACTATTTTTGCAGGCAGGGCATTCCACGCCCTTACTACTCTCTGAGTAAAGAACCTACCTCTGACATCTGTCCTATATCTATCACCCCTCAATTTAAAGCTATGTCCCCTCGTGCTAGCCATCACCATCCGAGGAAAAAGGCTCCCACTGTCCACCCTATCTAATCCTCTGATCATCTTGTATGTCTCTATCAAGTCACCTCTTAACCTTCTTCTCTCTAACGAAAACAGCATCAAAACCCTCAGCCTTTCCTCAAAAGACCTTCCCTCCATACCAGGCAACATCCTGGTAAATCTCCTCTGCACCCTTTCCAATGCTACCACATCCTTCCTATAATGCGGTGACCAGAACTGTACGCAATACTCCAAGTGCGGCCGCACCAGAGTTTTGTACAGCTGCAACATGACCTCATGGCTCCGAAACTCAATCCCTCTACCAATAAAACCTAACATACTGTACGCCTTCTTAACAACGCTATCAACCTGGGTAGCAACTTTCAGTGATCTATGCACATGGGCACCGAGATCTTTCTGCTCATCCACACTACCAAGAATCTTACCATTAGCCCAGTACTCTGTATTCCTGTTATTCCTTCCAAAGACTGTCACTATCTTCTTATGGATGAGATGCAGAATGTTGAATAAATTTCTCCAGAAAGCCAGCTTTTGAAAAGATTTTCCACAGCACTTCCCGATTGATTGAGACAAAAGCCTCAGTCAGATCGATGACTGCTATGTAGAGTTATTGGTGTTGTTCTTGGCATTTCTCTTGGAGTTGCTGAGTAATGAAAATCATTATACATGGATTTAAGTAAGGCGTTTGATAAGGTTCCCCATGGTAGGCTCATGCAGAATGTAAGGAGGCATGGGATAGGGGGGAATGTGGCAGATTGGATTCAGAATTGGCTGACGCTTAGAAGAAAGAGGGTGGTAGTGGACGGAAAATATTCAACATGGTGCTCAGTTACGAATGTTGTACCACAAGGATATGTTCTGGGTCCTCTTCTATTTGTGATTTTTGTAAATGATTTGGATGTAGGAGTGGAAGGGTGGATTAGTAAGTTCGCGGACGATTCGAAGATATGTCAAATTCTGGATAGTGCGGAGGGCTGTTTTAGGTTACAAAGGGACATTGATAGGATGCAGAGCTGGGCTGAGAAGTGGCAGATGGAGTTTAACCCTGAAAAGTGTGAGGTGATTCATTTTGGAACGACAAATTTGAAAGCAGAATACAGGGTTAAGGGAAAGATTTTTGGCAGTGTGGAGGAACAGAGGGATCTTAGGGTTCATGTCCAAGTTCCCCGAAAGCTGCCACCCAGGTGGATAGAGTTATTAAGAAGGCGTATGGTGTGTTAGCTTTCATTAATAGAGGGATTGAGTTCAAGAGCCGTGAAGTTATACTCCAGCTATTCAAAACCCTGGTTCGGCCACATCTGGAGTATTGTGTCCAGTTCTGGTCGCCTCATCACAGGAAAGATGTGGAAGCGTTGAACAAGGTGCAGAGGAGATTTACCAGGATGTTGCCCGGAATTGAGGGAAAGTCTTACGAGGAAAGGTTGAGAGAGCTCGGGCTTTTCTCTTTAGAACAACAAAAGATGAGGGGTGACTTGGTAGAGGTGTACAGAATGATCAGAGGTATCGATAGAGTGGACAGCCAGAGATTTTTTCACAGGGTGGAGGTAGCTATTACAAGGGGACATAGTTTTAAAGTGAGTGGAGGTAGATATAGGGGAGACGTCAGAGGTAGGTTCTTTACTCAGGGAGTGGTAGGGGCGTGGAATGCATTGCCAGAGCGGGTAGTGGAGTCAGCCTCATTAGGGGCATTTAAGCGGCTATTAGACAGGCATATGGATGATAGTATAAGGTAGGGGTGGAGGTTAGATAGACCTTAGGTTTAGGGTAAAAGTTCGGCACAACATCGTGGGCCGAAGGGCCTGTACTGTGCTGTACTGATCTATGTTCTGTGCCCGATGTTCCACGATTTAGTCAGAAGCCACAACGGCTTTCAGGAAGGATTCCCTCAGAGCCTAGGAGAAGACGTCCAGTTAGGATTCAGGTGATGATCTTCTCAGCAACAGAGAGTCGGGAGATTCCTTGGTAGTTCCCACAGTATGTTTTGTTACAGTTCTTGAAGACGGTGGCAATGACAGCATCCCTGAGGTCAACAGGGATTTCTTCTTTGTCCCAGATTTTCAGGAATGCTTGAAGGAAATGACAGGTAAGTTTTGCTGTTCCAAGTTTGAAAATCTCTGGAATTCCATCCGCTCTTGCAGGTTTTCCATTTCTCA